TTGGGCAGTTGCTCCTGCCCTGTGGGATGCCTTGTCTCAGACTGTGGGTGTTAAATGTTCTGGAAGCTTTTAAGAAGCAGCTGAAAACACATTTTTTTACAGTCTCATAAATCATCAAGCTTTTATTCACACTTGTTCCTGTTTATTCATGCACTTTGTGAGAGGGTTTATGCAAAAAGTGATAAAGTGTACTTATTTACTTGTTTAGATATTGACTCGCCATTATTTTCTCAATGGTTTCAGGTAAAGCTGTTGTCTAGAGTCTTCCCCTTTCAGGATTCATGTTTGATTTTACAGAAATCCAAAAAGTGATATCGTCATCATGTACTGTGATATAATGTAGGAAAAACAAGCCCGCCCCCGTCCTGTTGAGCTCAGTGCAGTATAGACTGAGTACCGAGCACTGACCAATAGTGTTAGACTACCGCTTACGTACAGACGTTATCCACAGCGCGATTGTTACTCATGACAAAAATGCATGAGGTCATGAGTAAACAGTATAAAGTGACCTGCATGCTCCACAGAAACAACGTGGTGACTCCGCCCCCTACACAATCAGTGGCCAGTCGTGATGCTGGCCCTAACCCATGTACCTCAAAGGAGCAGGGACTCAAAGTTGGGGAAAAAGTAGAGGGAAAATATTGAACTGTGCCGTTGGAAACTGTGGTCAGGCCGAGCTGCATCGGTCCAAGTTACTCCAGCTTTAGATGTTGGTTTATAATTTATTAAGGGGTCACTAGAATGTAAACCAACATTTATATTTTTTGTTGAATAAAGACAGATTGGGTGGTCAAAAGTAGCATGCCAAAAAGTCTAATCCGTGTGTGACCTACTTTTTATGGAAATCAGAAAGTTGGAAAAGGCAAGAGGAAAACTGTTCCCCAAGCAAGGCTCCCTTAATGCGCCACAAGGTGAAGCCCCTCCTCCTCAAACCTGCATGTCTCCACCCCCTCCAGTCTCTGCCATATAGAAACTGTAATGATAATAGAGGGTAAATAGCTTAAGAGCTATTCAATATTATTATTACTTGTGACCGATAGCTGTAATAGTCTATATAAATAGAATATCACCTTGCCTGGTCTTTATTTGTTTTAGTCAGAAGATTCTAGGATTCTTTTATTCATTAAGGGATCGTGCACACTGCTTAGATCCAAGAAAGTCAGGTTTATAAAGAAAATAAGAATTTATTTCACAAACCATTAAGACTTGACGAATTGTTTAAACTTATTTACTGTGAGTGGTGCGAACTAAAGGATGGTGTCTGGAACTTGTGTGTGAATATAATGTATTCAGAGTCAGAATCACGAGAAAGCTGAGTTCTGGACATAAACGAATTTGGTTTGCAAATAAGCCGTCGTCGTCTTCCTCCGCTTATCCGGGTCCGGGTTGCGGGGGCAGCATCCAGACTAGGGAGCTCCAGACCGTCCTCTCCCCAGCCACCTCCACCAGCTCCTCCGGCAGGACCCCAAGGCGTTCCCGGACCAGATTGGAGATGTAACCTCTCCAACGTGTCCTGGGTCGACCCGGGGGCCTCCTGCCGACAGGACATGCCCGAAACACCTCCCCAGGGAGGCGTCCAGGAAGCATCCTGACCAGATGCCCAAACCACCTCAACTGGCTCCTTTCGATCCGGAGGAGCAGCGGTTCTACTCCGAGTCCCTCCCGAATGTCCGAGCTCCTCACCCTATCTCTAAGGCTGAGCCCGGCCACCCTACGGAGGAAACTCATTTTGGCCGCTTGTATCCGCGATCTCGTTCTTTCGGTCATTACCCAAAGCTCATGACCATAGGTGAGGATTGGGACGTAGATCGACCGGTAAATCGAGAGCCTGGCTTTCTGGCTCAGCTCCCTCTTCCCCACGACAGATCGGCTCAGCGTCCGCATCACTGCAGACGCCTAACCAATCCGCCTGTCGATCTCCCGATCCCTCCTACCCTCACTCGTGAACAAGACCCCGAGATACTTAAACTCCTCCACTTGAGGTAGGACCTCTCCCCCGACCCGGAGTTGGCAAGCAAATAAGCAAATAAGCCATCAAGTTCTTATTATCAAAACCACATGCAAACACTATCTCGCTGTGTCTACCTCACCCGTTCTGGAAGACCCCCGGTGCATCCGAGATGTCCCGGGGCTGATGACCCCATTGCACCTGGCTCGTAGAAAAACCTCGATGCGCCCAATTAAGTCTTGGGATGTCTCCCCGGGTCACAACAATAGATGAAACCAGGCGTCTTCAAAATTACTCTGAAGGAGTTTGCGTCAGCTTTGTTCTGCAGGAACTATCTGGTTGGTTCAGCTTCGCAGGTGCGACAAAGGTTTAAGGTTTTGACAACATGTCAAATCTTTGTGGGTTATAGAGGCTTTTTGCTCAGATGGCTGGTCTGAAGCTTTTCTCTAGAACCCTCGAACCGTTGAACTGTTCGAACTGAGGAACAAACCAGAGCTGGCTAGTTTTAATGGATTGATGTTATGATTGACGAGCCAACCACAGGTTGGCACGTTTGAGGATATTACCAAGCATCACAGAGACACACCCTCTCTGTGATGGAGACTCTGAATCTGGGCAAAAGCTTAACTTATGTGCCATGGGTTTTTAACTCTACTCTGTCTTGTATGAGTGCAAATGGTGATGACCTCATCCAGTAAACCTACTAATCATATATTGTGAAACACAGATCAATGAACATTTCATTGTTTATAAATGGCAATATCTAATGATCATCTTTAATTATATAATCTTCTTTCTTCTTCTTCTTGGAATAAAGGAGTTTATTTAAAAGAGTTCCTCTGTGATGGACCTTGGAGGAGAATGTTATTGTTTATGTTTTATTATCTCTCAGAGCTGCAGTCCAGCTGGAAGTAGGCTCTGATTAAAGGGACTACGTGCAGACTCCCAGACTCCTGTGAGGGGAAAAGATTGTAGGTTGTCACAGCCAGGGGTAAGTTGACCTGGCTGTGAATTTGACTTGTGGGATCTCAAAATCAGGCCATTTCATGACGTTACAAAACAAATGCACCCGCAAGTGGAAGGCCATAACAACGCTAGCCCCAGCTACAGCTAAGGCTCTCCAGTTTGAGTTGTTTTGTTCATTTAAAAGGAAGGACACATTTTGAGAAAACTTGTAGTGATAGTAGGTATTTGCGCACAATTCCACAACAACCAAATTGTCAGCGGGAATGGTTGACCATCATTTTTAACCATGCTAGGAGGCTTCAATCCAAATATGTTGGTATGCTCCAGTCAGTTCATACGGTACTCGTTCTCAGTCCTTGGACTGTATGAATCTGGCTTAACACAGCAACTGATACCCAACAGTGGGCTGTACCAGCTACTTGGTCACGTCATCCATCATCTGTAAGGAAAAAGCATCGTTCCCTCACAAAGGCATTCCAGCGCCACAGCTACAAAATCCAGTCCGATTCAAATCAATTCTTTTCGTATTTTAATACGCCAGTTCCAAATCAAAGTTGGCCAAGTGTGAAATGTGAGCTTCACGTGCGTCTTTACAGTTTCAAACAGTTGTAGTTAACATTTCCTTTACACAAGTGAAAACTTGAAGCATAATACAAATAATTTAGTTAAACAAAATAAGATTCAAACTAAAACAAACTGGACACCTAAATTGTGACTAAAATTTTAGTCGAAAGACCTAAACTAAATAAAAATTTCTTGTCAAAATTAAAACGTGGAGTTGCTAATGCTAACAGTTAGCTTCTACTAGGCGAGGCGTTCTCTGCTGTTTCCTGTGCACTAAACCAACAACGGTCTTCTCCGTCATGGCTCAAGATGGGTGAGTCCATGAACTTTCAGTGAAAGTGTGACATAGATCTGTCAGGATGTTCTAATCCTAGAGTTTCACCGTCTGTTTTATATCAGAATCTAATGAAGGAGATAGGTGTAGGAGACTATTTTCATGTTCAGCCTGCATGGAAAAACTGAGTGACCCATTATAATCAGTAATATTTATTAAAAAACGTTTTGTTTTGTTGTTTCAGGAAATTATTTTTTTTCTAAATGTTTTTTCAGTCAACCACACCTTTAAATAAATAGGTTGAGAATGGAGCTACAGGTAAAGGTTTAGATGAAGCTAATATTTCTGAGAACTCTGGAAGCTCAACAGAGTCCAAATGGTATCGTGTTAATTAATCTAAGACTTGGGAATTGTTTGGGGATTGCTGTATATATTAAGCCTATTAAAAAGGTTTGTACCATTATGTCCAAATATGAGAGTCAACTAGAACTCATTTCTTTAGACCAACACCGGGCACTGGTGGGGGTTTCTGCCCTACGCCACTGGGCGTCATGGGCCGGTGTCTTGGCTGCTGCCGTGGATCTGTTGCTGCCAGGGCAGATGGCTCCGCTGATGTGTCGTTCATTACCTGACCCATCTGAACTCAGCCTATTGTTTCCTCTGGTGTTCACGAGTGTGTGTGTGTGCGTGTGTGTGTGTGTGCATGGACGAGTGTGAGGGTGATTGTATGTCCACTTTTGGAAGTTGGGTGCGGGAGGGGAACTGTAATTGTTTTATACTTGGGGAGGGGGGCTGGGATGGGAATGTGGGATCTATGGGGCCATTTTAATCTGTAAAGCACTTTGAGTTGCATTTTTTGTATGAAAAGTGCTGTATAAATAAAGTTGATTTGGTTTGATTTGAACACTTTATAAATGTAAATCTAAAGCTGCAATGATAACGTCAATAATGTGAACCGGAGTCGCTGCAAGTTCAGTTATGGAGATTTATTATTGTTTTATGTTTCCTTATATAGGCTGTTAATGACTTCCACCTGTGTGTGTGTGCGTGTGCGTGTGCGTGTGCGTGTGTGCGTGCGTGCGTGCGTGCGTGCGTGCGTGCGTGCGCGTGCGTGCGTGTGTGTGTGTGTGTGTGTGTGTGTGTGTGTGTGTGCGTGCGTGCGTGCGTGCGTGCGTGTGTGTGCGTGCGTGCGTGCGTGCGTGCGTGTGTGTGTGTGTGTGTGTGTGTGTGTGGATTGGCGTTTGTTATTAAGAAGCGAAATGGGAAGAGCACGTGCGCGCCCGCGCACTGAGAGCCCCTTGCTGGCAGCTCTGGAGGTCTGACGGGAAACGGCTCCTTCTCTGCAGCACCATCGCAGTCAGTTCACCTACCGAATCACTCATGACCGGACTGTACCGGACCTCCTGAGGCGCTGAAACCTGAGGTCTGTTTACTCATGTTCCGACAACCCGGAGCTCCCGAACAGAACCTGAGCTGGAGAGAAAGTTTGGAGCTAAATGACAGATTAGTGCGTAAAGACGCTGGACTCGATGATGGATACCTTATTCTACTTGCTCGCCTTCGTCCTGGTCCGGCCCGGTTCGGGTCTCGGATATGCGGAGTCCAGTATTCCGTCGGGTCAGAGAGCGGCCAGCAGACACAGGTAAGTTCGGACGAACCTGTGGCGGGTTCTGCGTGATTGAACCAAGTTTAAACCCCTCAAGGCTGCGCGTCATGAAAATGTGACGTAAATCTTAAAAGTAATTAATTAATCAGCTGATTTAATCAACGTGTTTATTGGTTTTCTCTTCATCACGTGATTTCACAAAAACTCGCGAGTCTAAATAACTAATAAGTGAGATTTTGCTGTTTTCTACTCGGTTCTGATACGAGATCAACGAGTCTCACTGCACAGGAAGTGTCTTATTAAGGGTTATTAGTTAAATCTGTTATGGTAACGGTCATAGCGCCGTTGGAGCCCCCCAAGGCGCTTTACAGCGCTGGTTCCTCCTGAGCACCACCAGCTGGCCAGACTGGTAGACAGTCCCCGTCGCCTGGTTTTATGTTAGTGTTCGGTTCTGTACCCAGCTGCTAAACGACTGCATGGGGGTGCAGTGGACGTGTGTGGATGTTACCAAAATGAACCAGAACAGCTGAGAAAGTTATCCATAGACCTCACCTAGTGAGAAAGCCCCGCCCCTTTAGCTCTACATCAGGTAGACTTTAGAGTAGAAGCACCACTCAGGTTTTAAAGGGGTCTCCGCGAGCTGGACATTCCATAGCCGACTTGTGTTTTTGATGGTTTTTGTTCAGCTTAGCAGTGGCGGATTTAGCAATTTGAGGGCCCAAGGTGAACACAGACACGGGCCCCCTTACACCAAATTTACCCAATCTTATCTTTAACTGGATTTGCAAAACTCCCCTCTTCTGACTCGAGTTATTTTTCCTTCTTATTAGTCCTCCTCTTTTTTCCTGTCTTTCTCTCCTTTGAGTGCTTTCTTCTTCCTGTCAGCGCTCCTGTGCTTTTGCCTTTATTTATTTTTCTTCTATTTTCCATTTTGGTCTATGTTTTCCTCCCTTTAAACATTTTCCATTGTCTTTCCTTTCTGCGTCCTTTTGATGTTTACATAGAAAAACGGCGTCACTTTCAGAAGTGAAGATAAAAGGTTTTTTTGAATCAGGCTGCTTCTTTCTCTTATTGGAGCCACTAGGATAACTCCATTTCATGCTTCATGTTTTGACTACTGCTTCGGGTTTGTTACGAACGATCCCGCCTCTCTTTTTATTCTTATTCGTGGTCTCATGGCACTTGGCAAACAACAAATTGGTGCATTACTGCCACCAACTGGACTGGAGTGGAATGACTACCAATCACTTCCTGTTTGTGCATCGGCGTCTTAAAGGAACAGTCCATAGTGGGATTAACAAAGGGGTGCTGGTGGTCAGGGCGAGGGGGCCCCGACCGATGCCTAATGGTAAAACCGCCACCGCAGCTTAGAGTTGATAGTGTCACACTAACAAACATTTGAGTATGAATATAAATTCTAATGCATTAATGACACACACACACACACACACACACACACACACACACACACACACACACACACACACACACACACACACTGCTGTAGGACTGGTGGTGTTCTCTCCATTCCCCTCAGACTGCAGCTCATTGACTTCTCTTAGATTTTAGCACTAAGGACCTTGACATTGACTACTTGCTGTTTGACGATACGAACGCGTAGAAAATGGCTGCCATGTGTTACAGATTTCAGATTTATTGGCCAAGTAAAATTACATTTACAAGGAATTTGTCTTCGGTAGATGTTCGCTCTCTAAAACATACAACAACCACAATAAATGAGAATAAAAATACCTAAAAACACATAAGAACATGTATACCCACACACATGTTCATTTACACACACACACACACACACACACACACACACACATCCATAAGCATACTGAATAAGTATTAAAAACTATAGTAAAAGGATGGTAAGATAATCTACAGATTCAGGAGAGAAATGGCTGAAGGAAAGAAACAGTTCTTGTGTCTGGTAGTTTTTGTGTACAGTGATCCATCGCGTCTGCCAGATGGGAGGAGATGGAAGAGAGTAGATGCAGGATGTGTGGCATCTTGGACAATATTCACTGCCTTTTTCCTGCTCCTGCTGATGTGCAGTTCCTGGACAGAGGGCAGTTACTTGCGTTGATTTGAAGCGTTGTTTGTGTGTGTCCCCTGAAATTAACGAGACACGTACGAATGCTGCAATAAACAAGTAACCGGTAGGTGGAGTCAGCATAGCGAGCGAGACACACTCGCTATGCTGACTCGGTCTCTGGTTATGGGTGTGTGTGTGTGTGTGTGTGTGTGTGTGTGTGTGTGTGTGTGTGTGTGTGTGTGTGTGTGTGTGTGTGTGTGTGTGTGTGTGTGTGTGTGTGTGTGTGTGTGTGTGTGTGTGTGTGTGTGTGTGTGTGTGTGTGTGTGTGTGTGTGTGATGGAAGAACATGCTGTCAGAATGAAACTGAAGGTTTTTACTTGACTCATTCTTACATGAAACCGTAGAAACATAAAACGTGACCATCAGAGCCTTCTGACACTGTTTTTGAATGATTGAAGTGTGTTTGGCATGAAGTGTGTTACCCACAAATGCAGCCCATGAGACCTGGGTCCTAATTAAACCTTCGTTATTGAACTTTCAAAGAAAAGCACTTGGATCTCCATCAGCTGCTGATGAATAGTCGCTTGTGAAGCCGACACATGCTAGTTTTTATTGTGAGCTTGGCACCTCCGTCCATTTTCTGGCTGAGGGTTCCTTGTTTGAAAGTCCCCCCCCCCCCTCCCCCCCGTGTGTGTGTGTGCTGGCTCCATCAGACCAGTTACTGCAGGAGGAAGGTATTGGAGGAGCCAGCCTCCCTCTCCTCCTATCGTGTCGCTCCTCCCTGCCTTTTGTGGCTCTTTCAGAGCTTCTGGTCACGCCTGCTTTGCTGCTTTCACTCCACACACCGCTTGTTTTACCACCAGCACGGTTTCATTTCTGCACTCTGCTCCTCTTTTACAAATGAAAATCCATTTAAAACAGCAGTTGCTACCAGGATTCTCTCGAATCTCATCTTTCCATTTGATCAACTTGTGGTCTTCCCAACCAATCGCTGCCTCATCAGTAGTCAGCCACAGGAACCTGGGCAAAGCTACACACACACACACTCTGGCTCGTGGCTCTGCAGTTTGCCCCACTGACATCAGTTTGAACTCAGCTGATGTGTTTTGACAGATGTGAGAAGTATTCCAGCAGAGGTAGAGGCTGATGAGTGGGCTGGAGACGTCCAGCTGAGGTCTTCGGGGAGATCAGGAAGACCTAGAGCTCTCCGACACATCTCCTGCCAAAAAGTTAAATAGTCATGCCATCCCGTTAGCTATGGGATGGCATGACTATGATGTGGGTGGTCATACCGAACCGAGGCTTGATGCTGGTGGGCCCTATCAGTTTACTTTTATTTTCACAAATGATCTCTTTCAGTTTTCTTTTGAAAGCTCCTCGTTTTATGATGACATCTTCTAAACAAGCTCCCAGAGAGTTGAACATGCCACGTCTGCACCTCACCTGTTGGTGCTTTCCACCATGTTGTAATGTTCACATGCGCACTTTCCTGTCTCAGCTGCTGCTTCGCTCAGCTCTGGTAAACCGAGCTTAGCCAGCGCAAAAGCCTGGATGGAATAATCTTACACCTTTAGATTCTGCTCCTCCCCATCCAGGTAGTCCAGGTTCCAGATCGCTCCTCCCCATCCAGGTAGTCCAGGTTCCAGATCGCTCCTCCCCATCCAGGTAGTCCAGGTTCCAGATCGCTCCCCCCCATCCAGGTAGTCCAGGTTCCAGATCGCTCCTCCCCTGGACCGTAGACTTTAAATCCAGGTCCACCCTGGAGGAATGATGCTCCTGGGGGAGTGTGTGTGTGTGTGTGTGTGGGGGGGGGGGGGGGGGGGGGGGGGGCACTGCTGTAAGCTAGCGGGGAGAATGCTGATGCGGGAAAAGGCATGTCGCCACCTACAGTACAGGAAGGAACAAACCTCATGTGAGGTTGGGTTCTCTGACCGACATCAGCTGGGATGAAGGCTCCGGTTTTACGGTAGATCGTCATGGAGACCGTAGGTGGGAGGGAATCAGAGAGGGAAACGGGGGATGGGCTCTAATGCTTCGGTAGAAAATACAACCTTCTGTTGAGGGACCTTCCCTTTAGCTTTCTGTGTATCCACAGACAGTGACCTAGGGGGAGGGGCTTATCTCAGCAGTTGAACTTTGACCCCTACAGGTCAAGCACTCCCTCCAACGCCCTTGTAAAGGCAAACCCCTGAACACACGCTGAGGGCTAGATATATTGTCACAGACGACAGCACACACATTTGTGTCTGCTTGAGTGACCCCCCCCCCCCCCACACACACACACACACACACCAGAGGACAGTGAGACTGTGTAAACCTCTCAGACTGTTTATCCTGACAGACAAGAAGATGGAGGGAGCTCCAGAATTCAGCCAAGATGGTCCAGATATTCTGTGTTCACGTCTGCTGGGACTGTTTCAGCCACTTCTGGAGGAACGTAGGACCATAAGTCACCAAGAACCGCAGAAGAGCCGCTTCCCTCAACGAGCCCTAACCCTAACCCTAACCCTAACCCTAGCTCACAACGGCTTGACTCTGGGCTCTGAAGAGTGTTTGGTTGTGCTGTTCCCTCAGGAGGGTCCTAGCTTCCATCGTTCAGTGATGACTGTTTGAAGCTCCTCTAAGTCTCTTCAGTGCTCCTTAAGGTTTCCAAATATAAAGCTTTTTATTCCAGGTAATGCTGGATGATACGCTCATCAGGCTACGCCGGTGGAGCCAGGAAACCATTCCTTTCCCAAAAGATGTTCTTACAGGAGGACGGATACACTTCACGAGTCTATTCACCATATCCTGTTAGGGTCTCATTTACTCGCTGCAGTGTTTTTGTTTCATCTAACTGGGTTTCTCTGCTCTTTATTCGGTGGGTTGTGGGAAAGAAGCTTGGCTACAGGTTCCTAATTAGACGCACACTAAGTTATCCGTTTAGGGAGGCCCGTGGGTTTGCTCTGGGATGGGGAGAGTGTTTTCCTTTGTCGCACATTGTGATCGATCG